GGATTTTCTCGTCAAAGAAATTTTAGATCCTCCTGCTGCTGAATCCCACATTTCTGAACCGTACTAAGAATAGTTGCTGGCACTCCACTGGACTCTGTCATAAAGCATTATTTTATTTAAAGCTCAAGGTAACTGTTTTTTCCTCATTTTACAGGCAAAAAAAAAAAAAAACAACTTCACATCGGTTAATGTGCCCAACGGCACACAGCTAGTCGGGGAAGTGACACCCTGCATTTCAGTGGCCCATTTGCTTTCCTATAGTGAACACATAGAACAGAGAATCTGATCCCGAAGCAACAAAGCACATACGAATACAGACTTTGCTCTCCCTATTATTGCACCCAAAGGTTGGTGTATTTCTGTCCCCCCCTCAGACACACACACACACACACACACACACACACACACACACACCACACACGCTCATGCTCACGCTCACGCTCACGCTCATGCAATTCAGAATAGTAACCATGTCTCCAATTACGTTGGGTTCTTTTTGTTACGAGGAAGCAGAAGGAAAAGCAAGATAATCTCAGTGTTTGTTTTCTATCTCTAACACAGAGGAATAGCCCGTTCGCGCTAATAATTCCGAGTACAGTTCATTTCCTTCTTCTGAAGGCACCAGGGAGAAAACAGGCCCCGGGACCCCGTCCTCCCTTTCGCCCTGCCCTCCCTGACCCTCACTGAGTCTGTCATTCCCACTCATTTCCCTAGAATTGCTGTGGCCTTAAACATTTACAATTACACAGCACCATACAGAACGGAGACATCCAAGAGTCCATGGGTCCCGGCTGTCCTCGGGTGTCCTGCAGTGCTCTGAGGTGGGAAAGGGTTCAATTAGTGATTCTTGGTTTTGCCCAGTATTTTTTAACCTGAAAATCTTTGTGCAAACTCCCCGAAAACCTTCCCCCAGACAGACCTTGTCTGAACTGAGGAAACGCCACGGGCTCTCTCTCCAAGCCAGGGCCCCCTGGGCAAGGGGACACAGGGCACAGGTTATTAAAAGCACAGCTCTGCGGGTCCCATACATCCTCAGACATGCCCCTGTCATTTGTTTACCCACCCTAGACAGTAACCAACGTTCAGATAAATGAAGTCGGCGCCGGCAAGATTTATGACCCACTCACGCGCTTAGCGCTGCTTAATCAGGAAGTTAACATATTACGGTGTAAAATCCTTTACGAGCCTGTACAAACAGAGCCCCCATTAGCACTGCGCCAGGCCCGGGGTCACACAGCCCCCGCCTCTCAGGAAACGCGGAGTGAACCCGCACCCAGGGCTGCTCACATGGTATTAGCAAACAGCATCAGGGCTAGCTGTTTTTTCCTTTCTGCTTTTTTTTTTTTTAATTTACTTTTTTTCTTTCAAAGGTTCTCATTTCTGAAGAGGCAAGGTGACAAGCAAGCACCCACGTGACTGCCTCCAGCTGCCCCCCACCTCACCCCGTGGAGCCAGGACTCAAGGAAGGTCAATGAGGGTCAGCAGTGGTGGGGGAGGCCGGTCTGGAGTGTAGGGTGTTTGGACGAGGCCAGCCAGCGTGGGGGGTGGGGGGGCAGCATGAGGCATCACACCTGGACAAGGAGACCCCGGCTGCAGCCCCAGTGTCATAAGCCTGGCTCCACGAAGTCTAGCCAACATCTGGAATGGATATCAGGAGACACAGGCGGCCTTGCTGGCGCGCAACCCTACCTTTGTACTTTTTGCTGCAAATTGAAAAGCAAAACAGACATCAAGGATATATTTATATAACTGTCTTCAAGTTGCATTTTCTACTCCCATCTGCTGCACATGATAAGTTTCAAGTGTTTTCTAATAAAAAAAAAAAAGTGGGAAGGCGGGTGGAGTGTAAGGGAGTCCTGGGTGCGCACACGTGTGTACGCCTGAAGGCAAGCTCCCTTTTTGGGGTGGAGATGGTTTTTTACGGCTTCCTTTAAAAGGAGAAGTTAAAACACGCAGGGTCTGAAGGCATCACTGTTTTAAGATGTTCCGACGTTTTTTTGCATGTCACACATATTAAAAAATGTGCATTGAATCACTTTAAAGAAAAAAAGAGGGTATATTTCTTAAACCCTTACTCTCATTGCTTGGGTGGAGAACGTTGGAGGGGAGGGGGGAAAAGCACATGTTTTTGTTGTTAAATCTTTGGAGAAAAGAGCAACGTGGAGGCGTGAGATGGTGGGGTGAGATGTTTAGGGGAAAAAAGACAGTATCAGATAGAAACACATCAGGCAGATCCAAGATCATCTGGGTTTGTCTACATTTAGGTAAATATGTGAATCCAGATGTGACTGCTGATTATTCATGAGCAAAGCTGGAACACCACGGGCCAAATGCAGTGCGGAGCCGGACAGCTCAGTGACCGGCCAGGACGGAGCCCAGTCCTCCTCTTTTATTTCCACTAACGGGGAGTGGGAGGGAGCAACCAGGATAGGGGGGTTCTGTGATTTTTCCTTTACCACTGGACCATGCTTAAACATTTACAGTGAGGTAATGAAACACGAGGCAACCATCCTGGTAATTTAGGATTTATTGAAACAGACACACACCAAAACCATGGGCCTTGGGGTATATTGGGTAAAAAGAAGGTGTTTTCCACGTCTCAATTAGCTGAGCATTTTTCCTCGCTTTGTCACTTTGAAGATAGTCCATGCCAAATATTGTAAGAGGGAAGGCAGACTGTCCAGGGATTGATTGCTCCCAGATCCGTATTTCTGCTGGAGACTTCCTCTAAGTCCAAATGAAGACGGGCTCTGCTGACCAGGAAAGGCTGCACCCCAGATCAACCCTGCACAAAGCGCTCACCAGTCACATGGGCTGGACTTCTCAGCAGAAACGACAGCTGATCCCTGACAGCCGCCAGCAGAGAGGGGTGGAGAGAGCAAGGCTTTGAAATGAGACAGACGTGAGGTCAAGCCCGGGCCCTGCCACCGAGCTGCCATGGAACTTCGACTTCAGCTCTTTAATTCTCAGTGACCACACCTGGAAAATGAACCTCATAACATGGATCTCACTGGCTGGTGTGAAGAATTCATGGGTCAATGTGTGTAAGGTGTCAAATGTGCACTTTTAGTGGGACTTAATAAGTGACATCCATTTTTACTATCCCACGTCACTTGTCACATGTGCCCTGTGCCTGCTGCCTCGTAGCCCCTGCTTACCCGTGGCAGACATCCTAAGCCACCCCTGACCCCGCCCCACTGAGGTCTCAGCCGCAGCAGCCTTCTGATCATAGCCCTCCACACAACCACGGCCCGGGGGTGAGACTTGCCCCATCGACCTGAGTTTATCTGATGTCTTGGTCTTGCCTGGACCAGACCCTCATGTCAGCAAGAAGAAGGAAGTAGACGATGTTTGTTGAATTCCCACAACCCACTTCACGCTGTGACAAGTGTTTCCGTTGATGGGGCTGCACCTCTCTCCTGCTGGTCATGTCTGAGGGGCAGCTGGACCCCCGCGCTCCCCGTGTTCTTCTCACTGTCCTCTCCCCACTGCTTTTCTTCAAGTTCACTTCCTCATGTAGGAGCCCTGACTCGGGCATAAAGCCAGCCAGCGGGATGGAAGATGCCAGAAGTGGTGACAACAATTTGCATTGTTAGCCCTTGTCACTGAAGACACCAAGCCGTACATTTGCACAAAGGATTTATACCGAAGAACTGTCATTGTCAGGCCACTTGTACTATTTTACTAAAATAACGTGTGCTCTCACCACATTAGAGCTAATGTAGTTACATTTCTTTGAGATAGCACAGAATTGTACTTCTACAATTCTCATTACAAAGTGAAAAGAAAAACCCAGTCACAAAGTAGGTCTTAACATCTCCTTGTCCCTGTAAGGTACAAACCAACAGCATAAAGAAGTCTATGGCTTCGCAGGGTCGTCTAAAGCCCTGGCCTCTGTGAGGCCCCGTCCCCATGCACGGCCCTTCGCAGACACAGAGGCCGGCACCGGCCGGGGAGAAAGACGCCTCCCAGCTCTGTTCATGGCGACTAAGCAGAGGCCCTAGCAGGAGAGCTTGTGTTCATTTCCTTGGGCTTTGCTTTTCTGAATAGAAGGAAGCCAAGTGGTGATGAGGGAGAGTGACATCTACGTCCCCAGTGCCAGCAATGAAACCAGACCCCATGCTCAAACCTCCTGACTATGCGCTGTGCCTCAGTTTCCCCCTCTGTAAGACAATGATGATAAGAGCCTGGACTTCGTGGGTTTGTGGTGAGGATTAGACATCAAACATGTGGGGCACTTAGGACGGCATCTGCCGCATAGGGACAGCGTGTGGGGTCCCATTCTGACGGTCACCTTCGTCACTTCAGGGGCCTCAAGGAGGAACGTGGACCCCCCGGGAGCTCACTCTGATCCCTGGACTGACTCACACAGACACTGCCAGCTGCTCGCCTCATAAGCAAATGTGAGACAAAACCAAAACCCCACGCAAACCATGATGATTTTTAATAATTCTATACATTATTTTAAAAGCTACTTTTGGGCCGGCCGAGTGGCGCGTTGGTTAAGAACTCGCTTGGGATGCCAGAGGGCCCTGGTTCGGATCCCACATATGAGGGCCAGTGACACTGCCCTCCACAGCTAAGATGCTGAACAACAGTTCAACCTGGAGCTGGGCTGCTGTGGGTCGCCGGCGTAGGCTGCAGCCCCTGTGGCAGTGGGTTGCCATGGGCTACTGTGTGTAGCCAGCAGCCAGCGTGAGCGGCCAGCAGCCGCAGTGAGCGGCCGTCCAGAAGCCGGCGACTGATCTCCCTCACCCGGGAAGAGCACAGTGATGGTGCCAACTTGGGCCAGTGAAGCAACATCCTCCACAACTAGACTGAAAAACAAAAGGACAGCAACTTGTTTGTTCCCCTTCCCCCGATTCCCCAGCGCTGTTCCCCTCCCCCAATTTCCCAATAAAATCTTTTAAAAAAAAAAAAGCTACTTTTGTTTTATGAAAACAAAAATTGTTCATGTTGGACAAATCAATAAAACCAGTAAGTCCCATGACTCTGCAATTTGAAAAGAGTTATGTCTATGTATTTACAAGAAGCATGTATATGTGTTTATAGTAAAATAAAATTATATTTGTATTAATATATTTGTATTTCTACACACAAGGAACATTTTCAGCCCTTGGTCCTAGCCTATTTTCTGTTGCTTTTTTAATTGGGGGAAGGGTTACAATTACATCAAACTTTATAAACTGAAAAAGATCTTTTTTCCCCAAGGTTAAGCAAACATATTGCTACTTGGCCATGAACTTTGGTTATTTCTCACTGACAACATTTCCAGTTTTGCTCAACTTCCAAAAGAACGTTGCGAAGCATTTGGACTCTTACCTAAACCCTGCTTGTCCAAAGAGGTCAGTATGAAGCCTAAAAGACGCTTTGGTCCAAAAAGTAGTGGTCATGTCTTCAGTTATTCTGAGATAGTCATGGAAAATTACAGCACAGATGTTAGTACTGGATCTCTCTCCTGTCGCCCAATGCCTGTAAAGCTACAGGACAAAACCAGAATGAGAAGGTGAAAACCGAAAAAGCTCATGTAGTCCACGACAAAGGGGGCAGTTGTCACAGTGTCTAAGCCATGGCCCCAAGGAGGGGCAGGACAGCAGGGGGCAGTGTCTGAACAGAACGTGCTGGATGGTAACTGGCCAAGTGTGTGAAGAGCAGGTTCCAGGAGGGCCAGCATGTGTCAGAGTTCTCGCTCCGCCCTTCACCAGCTGGTTGACAGTGACAGAGCCCCACTGCCTCGGTCTCTTCACCTGCAAAGTGGGAATAAAAGCATTCACTCTTTTATAGTGTTGCCGAGTTAGAGTTAATGCCTGGCATGACGTGTGTTAATATAATACATTTTGCAAATAAGTAAACGGACTGAATGGGATTGTTTCCAACACCCACCATGTGAAGACGCAAACGCCGACAGTAGTGTGAGAATGGATGCCAGGGGCCGGGAAGGGGGCCTGGGGAGCGACTGCTTAAGGGGCACAGGGTTTCCTTCTGGGTTAATAAGAATGTCTTGGAACTAGAGAGTGGTGGTGGCTGAACAACATTGTGAGCATCCTAAATGCCACTCAACTGTGCAATTTTGCACTTTAAAGTGGTTAATGGTTAATTATATGTTATGTGAATTTTACCTCAATGGAGAGAGGGAAGGAAGGAGGAAGGGAGGAAGGAAGGAAGGAGGAAGGAAGAAAGGAAGGAAGAAGGAAGGAAGGAAGAAAGGAAGGAAGGAAGGAAGGGAGGGAGAAAGGGAGGAAGGAAAAAACTAATGGTAGCTGTGGGCCTAAATGGACCAAGAAAAGCAGGGCTTATGAGAAGAACCCAAACACTCAAGATTAACCCTAAACTGACTTGAGAGTCAAGGCCAGTGGCTCAGCCACTATGAGGTGTCCCTCGGGCCTTGTCCCGTCTGTGGCTGACAGGAAGTCTTGCCAAGTCAAGTCAGTGTTTCTTCATTGCAATTCATTTGGGTCCCCTCAGAATCATAAAATGTTCAGCTGGGAGAAAAGATGCTCACAGATCTGGTCTCTCTGCCACAGGGCAGGATGTAGGACCCAGACAGATGTTGTCTTGGTGCCTCCTGCAGGGGTGGAGGAGCAGAATTCCCACAGGCTCTTTCCTCTAGGGCACGTGGTCTTCACACTCAGATTAGATGCCTTAGACGTCCCTGTGCTGCTAGTAGAAGACAGACAACTCAGGTTCAGAGAAGCAGTGGAGCCCCCTAAGCCCCTGAGCCTGCTGGACACCTTTCCTCGAGAAGAAGGGGCAGCAGCAGAGGACGGTTTGCCTGGAGGTGACAGGGGACCTCCCCATTTGGAAAATGAGGCCCGGATCCAACAGGCAACCAGCGGTGAGCCGCAGCTGAGCCCTTAAACCGCACAGGAGCACAGACAGCACGTGCCTCTCCTCTGATGCCACCCCCCCAACGGGGCCCTCAGGGCACGGCTTGCTCAGCACCTGTCCCACAGCATCACGGGAGGGGGCCAAACAGGGAGCAAGCTAGCAGACAGAGGGTCCATATTCCAGGGGCCATCACTAATGCATCTTCGCCTCTTTTTAAAACTTTGTTCAGAGGTGGGCGCTCCTTTTGTTTTGGTTCTATTTCCCCAAATCATTTTTGTTGTTAGCACATTCACTCATTTAATATATTGGGTTGTCAGAAAAGTCATGACATACTTTTTCTGTTTTTCGTTGCAAAAATGTGTCATGATTTTCCTGACAACCCACTATATTTGCTAAGGACTGCCTATGCATCGGTAACTAGCAAGATAAACTTAGAACGTGAAAATAAATTAAAAGTGGCCATGAACCGGTGTGGAGGGGAGGAGCTATGTAAAAATATTTATTTGTAATACAGTGTGACAGCTGTGATAAGAGAGCTGCCACCAGCTCTAGAGGAGGCTAGTCCAGGGGACCTGGAAAGGTGGGCTTGCTTCGTCTTGAGATTTGGTAGAAAGACAATAAACAGGAAAGGTGTTTCTAACATGATTTCCAATAGAGGTGATCACCAATATTACATGAACTGAAAAGAATGCACTCTAGAATGTTTAAGTGATTTTCTCATCGCTGAATTTTATCTGTCCTTTAGATGGGCAAATCATTCATGGAAAAAGAAAATGAGAGAGTGAAAGAGCATAAAGGGACGGAGGAGCGAGGTGGGAAAGGAGATTAATTTTGACTCTGTTCTAACGTCACATCCAGAAGGGTCAGCAGGCAAAGCAATATGGGAATGACCTTGTTGTAAGTGTAAGTGAGTTAAACAGGGATAGAAAAATTAACTTTAAGGATCTAACCACATATTTTCAGGTCAGTTAATGGCCAGGACTTTGAGATTGTGTGTGTGTGTGTGTGTGTGTGTGTGTGTGCACGTGTGTGTGTGTATGCGTGCATATCTGTGTAAATGGAATTGATTGTGACTCAGATGATGCTCTTCCAAAACGTGTCTTCTTATCCTACTTTGCAGCTACATAAGATTCTGGAAAGCATTTTCTCCAAAGTGGCAAAGCCACCGCAGTGATAAGGAGTCTAACACGAAGCCACAAGATAATGGAGAGAATGATGTGTTTAGGATGGAGAAGACAACACCCACGGGAGGCATGATGGCTGACCCCTAGCCTCTACCAAAGGAGCTCTAAATAAATATTTAATCCCAACAATAAGACCGGATAGTGAAGTGAAGTCTTCTTGGAAGACTAAGTTTTCTATTCATCCAAAGGTGATCAAAAGGGGGCCGGGGTCACCCACCTTAGAAGGGAGTTTCATGCCACGGGAAGTAGAACTCCAGTTCTGAGATCTCTTTAAAGTCTTAACACTGTAATTCTTAGGTAGTCATCTTACAGGGACCTTTATAGCCTCAATTTCCACCAGAAATTAAAGACTAGAACCAAATACTGTTTTCAGATGATGGGGGCTGCTTATTTCGTTTGGAAGGTGAGTCTTGGGGTAGCTGCAGAAGGGGATGGAGCCCTGACTGCCGTAAGGCATCCATGATGAAAGGGAGTGTCTGCACATACTTTATTCAAATTTCATTAAGGTTTGGAAACCCTTAAAATATGTTGGTTGGGTTGAAAGTCCATCTTCCCTCTACCTCCAAGTTTCTACTAGTCCACAGTTCAGACACCTCACTCCAGCTGCCCACATCTCTCTCTGATAAAACTTCCTGCCTCAGTTAAAATGTCACACAGATTGTGCCATGGAAAAAGTTCTCGCTTTAGAAGAACAATTGTCTGCTGCAGAAATAAAGTGATGCCTTTCCTACGAAATCTATAAACTCGAAACAGGGACACAGAACTAGTGGTTGCCAATAACTTTAACTTCATTTATCTATATTTGGCAAAAATTGTGCTGCAGCTGGAGATGAAATGCTGAGCTAAATAACTGCGGAGACGTGAGCTCCAAAACAGCAATTACTAAGCTGTGCTGCCTTGTGTGAGATTTCACTTTTATTTATTATATTTAAAGCAACTCTCCAACTCTGTACAGTACAGACAGCATTGTCTATCCAAGCAATAGCATCTCACAAGGGCATTGCCACCTCCTATTTGTCCAAAAAGGTGCCTCAAGAGAGGCGAAAGGTCTCTATGGTCACATGAACGCAGCCGAGGTGGCAGCTCAGCCACCAAACGCACCTCTCTTTTGTCCATAATTGGAAGAAGCTATCCTTATTTTCAGCTCCAACTTGGCTTATCACATACTGTGCACAACTCTGATGGTGCCTGTTTTTTTTTTAATCAGTGGAGATATTGATAATTATAATTGGCAGGCTGAGGAAGGGAGCTATAAATATCTCATCAGCTGCCACAGAGTAGAGAAATGGGGGGAGAGGTGGCAACCTATGCTGATGGAGGAAGATGGATCCTCACAGCCATTGTCTACCAACCAACATCTGTTTCTTATAGTGGGTGATGATTTTCATAGAATCATAGAAATTAGAGATAAAAAGACCTATTAGGTCATCTCGTGCAGCTCTCTGCCAGTGTAGAATTATTCTCCATAAGAAAGACTAACTCTGTTCTCATAAAAAACTCTGATATTCACAAATGGCTTCCCAACAGAGGATAGCTTTAAGTGGACTCCAGAGGTAAAAGGAGTTGAAAAATTATTAAAAACCTAACTCTGAGCAACAATAGCCTTTTATGTGTTTATAAAACATGGCAAGATGGAATGTTAGCAATTTACAGAGCCCTGAACGAATTCCACCAGGAATGTTCAAACTCAATTCAGAGGAAACTTGATTTTTTTTTTCAAGTAAAAGGAAGGATACGGGGCTGGCCAGGCTGTTATCGAAGTTACTTTTTAATTTAGCTCCAAAATTATTTCCAAAAGTTGAACTCCTTGGGATTGAACACATTGTGTGTATACGAGTGAATATCATTCAATTTTGTCGTGTAATGACAACCTAGCTCATCTTTTGACTTACTAATAAATTCATTTCTATTTTTGAAGCAAGTTTCCTGGGATGTGTCTGATACTGCTTTTGCTCTCCGAAGCTTCCCTTGCAAACATTTGCCTGAGCTCCCCCTTATCTGTCTTGGTTTATCAACACCACCAGGAAATGCACTTGTCTTTGTGTTGACTTGATATCTAATTCAGATTCGTGCTCTTTTCTTTTGTGGAAACTTTACCTTGAGAAACTCTCCAACACTTTGGAAACTCTCCTCAGTCTATGCTTTTTAATCAATTGGAGGTGATATTATTACAAAGATTCCTGTGAATTGGTACTGTCTTAGGAGGGCTTAATTTTAGAGGAGGTGTTTACGATTATCTTTTTGATGATTTGGATTGGCTCTCTATCTAATTCTGCAAAGTTTCTTATAAGAACCTAGTCAGAGCAAGCCATGTTCTCCTACAAGGATCTCTCAAGCCAGGCATGGGCACCAATGTCCTTTCTCACCAGGTGGAAGCTGCCATGGGTTCTGCTGTGACTGGGGTGGTTCTTTGAGGTGGCCTCAGTAACATACCCCAACCCAGATCACCAAGAAGCTATGTTGGCTGCTTCTAAGAGATTCTGTGAAAGAAGCCACTACATTCAACTTCCAAACAGATTTCCCATTCCAAATCAATTTTGTTCCAACATGTTTTCTACCTGGGAGTTCATATATAGCCCACAAACAGACGCACTTGGCCGCTGAAAGATTCTTACGAACGCGGGTTTTCCTGCTCTCCTTTTCTCCCTGCAGAAAATACAGTCTGCCCTGCAGAATTCGGGAGCATGCCCTAACAACGTTCCCTTGTTCATTTCCAGCTTCACTGGCTTGCAAAT